CCCCCAAGTTAAAGATATTTTAATGTTTTATATAACTCAGCTGAATCTCAGCACCAAAGCAGCCATCTGAATTGCACGATACATTTTAAATTTAAAGAAATGTTATTTAAATAAATCCCTTGTTTAAATCTTCAAATTCCAGACTTCAAAGGTAATCTGTTCCACCCTGGAAGAGCACTGGCTACCTGAGTCAAGTACCTGTGGTCTCACGTGTCCAAAACTAAGGTGAGCTTTTTTCCCAAAACAGTCCTCTGAAAACAAGGAGCCACCTAATATCTGAGTCCTTTCAAAGTTTCCTATTACACCGACCTCTCATAACACCAGAGAACTGTTTGGGAAAGTCACTGACAATAACCTCCAGGAGAGTAGTTTGAATCCAAAACAAAAGCCAGGCAAAAGCCAGGGAGAGGGAAGCAAAGAAGCATATGGCGGAATCCATCCTTATTCCTAGTGGGATATATGACCTCACAGTTTTCTAGTGTTGGGGATTAATGTAAATGAGACTTTTAAAGATCACTTTAAAAAGTAACAATGTTATGTTTGCTAAAAATGTACAATCTGAATTTAATCATGAGGGCACATCAAACCAACCCGAATCAACTGACATTTCCACAAAATAACTGGTCAGCACTCTGTAAAACTGTACCAGAGTTGAAGAAAGGTTAAGGATTTGTCTCAGATTAGAGGAGACTGAGGAGCCAAGACAACTAAATGCTTCATGATCTTGAATTGGACCCGACACAAGAAAAGCAGCATTAGTGTTTCTTTTGAAGGGAGACTCACTTACTTCAATTACTTTGGTCTCAAACAAAACCTCAGCAATCCCTTAGTTATAGTAAAAGCAACCTCTACTAAGCAAAGTATGGCACTTAACAATTTTTTTGGCCAGGATATTAGCACACGTAATCCTGAAAGTCAGTATGCATATTTTATATGTTTACAAGTAAACATATTTTATAACCAAAATTTTATATGTTTACAAGTAAAATTTGCTTTTAAAAATATCCTTAAAAACTTGTTTTGTTCTTTAAAAACATATTTTCTAATGTAAGATTGGTATACTTTATCAACTGTGCTGTTTGCTGGCTGTTTTCAAGGGTATTTTGAAAGGGAGAGTCTGTGTCTTCCTTCACTTAGCCATGGACATGTAAATACATTATTCTAACTGATGCTGGAATCTGAAATATCAGCCATAATTATAATACACAGCAAACAGAATGATAATAACCCCATCTTGTATGTATTGGGCCTTTTAACATCAATGCGTGCATATTATGCTTAGTTACTGCGGACGCTGGTGTGGGCACACTGCTTACAGTGCATTTTGCTACCACAAATGGGGACGATAAAAAGCACCCGAAGTATATGAACCAAACGTTTCAAACAATGGGCATGGGGGAGAACCATTAGAAAAGAACTGCATAGAGATTAAAACTGTAAGTCTCCAACATGTTCACAATGGGCGATGCAGTCACATTCCAAGCGGGTCCACTCTTGGCAGAACTTGCCAACTTTAATGCCAGAAAACATTCTTCTTTTTAAAAACAGTAACTGCATATTCAAATGTCTGATAGTGTTGAGTTTTAAAATCCTTTGGCCATGGGTTTTAGCAATTAATTAATTAAAGGAATACATTGAGCTGGATAAACTAAAACTATTCAGCTGTTTTAGCCACAAATGCAATTGTCAGAGCCGTCAAATACCAGAATCTCAGGAGGTATCCCGGGAAATAAGCGCCCCTCTACAGCACTTCCGCGGCCACTACCCTCTACCACCAGCCCAGGCAACAGTGCAGTGGGTCCCTGGGACACTGTGCTGACACTAGGCCCTCCCCCCACAGTCAGGCCAGCGTCAGTGGCCACACTGGTGGCAGTGGGGCCTCCCGTCCTCCCATCGAGCTTGGCAACAGCCCCAGGAATGCCCTGAGTTCAGGCATAGGACCACAAAGCGCTTCTGCCTCCTCCTCTTCCTTCCCTGTGGATGCCTGCTCTCCTCGGGAAAGTTCAAGCTGACCAGGCAACTATTTTAACTGTGTTAAAATGTATGTCTAATTAGTGGTTTTGGTCCAAGGAAATCTATTTGTTTTGTCTTAAGAACCATGTTTATTAAAGAAATAATTGAAAGTAGACAGAAGACATAATACCCACTGTTAAACCTAAAGTCCTACTTAGTATTTTGGTATGACTATGTTCTGACTTATTTTACTCAAAGTCTTTTCTATCATTATAAATTACTACATACTCATATTTTACCTAACATTATATCATAAGCAGCTTTCTAGGTTAATAGTCTTTTGAGCAAATAGCTATTTAATATTCCAAGTAACTGTAACTTGATTTACTTAGCTGGTTCCTTGTCAATGAACTTGTTGGTTTACTTTTAAAATCATCTGTTCTTTGAATATGTACTATAATCAAGTCACCGGATTAAATATAATAAATACTACACATATATGGATAAGTGACTACACCAAGAATACTCTTCAAAACTACAAAAGACACAAACATATACATGCAACACATACGATATATGCATTTGTAAACTTGCTACATGTCCTAAGCTATTTAATCCTTCTAAAACATGCTTCTAGGGTTGAAATATCCTGATTTCCTTTTCATGTATTCCTTTTATTGCTAACTTCTGTTATTCTTGTCTGCTGGATTTGCCATAGCATGACTGATCAGAAAATCTTCAAAATAGACACAGGAGAAATTCTGAGCATTTTTATCTTAAAAATGTGCCCATTTTTATCTTAAAAACACACTTGCATTTTAAAGAAAATTACCATATGATGTGATATCAGGCTAGTCACCTGGAAAAGGCAATAATTTGTTGTGGTTTTCTCTGGGTCATGGAACCCAGGGAGGGAAGGAGGCATCTGGGAACCGATGTCTTGGAGCCACAGAGGCAGATACAAATCTCCCTTTCAGCCTTATCAAGCTGTGTAACGTTCAGAATTTTCCTTAAATGTCACTGTGACGCAGCTTTGTACAAAGGAGTTACTATTTACCTTGCACAGTGGACGTAAGGATGCCAGAAAAATCTACCTAAAGGCCAAGCGTGTACCTAGCATGCAAAAGACACTATGTTTACTTCTACAATGAGCACATATTTGTCTTTAAGAGACAAACAGAACTGTATATAGAAAAAATTTAAAGATAAAAATTAATTTACTTGGCTTTACTGCTACAAGGTAGTTTTAATTCATTACTGACTTCATAGTGAAGGGTTTCAGTCTTGAAAATTCAAGAATCTGGAAATGCAGAGAACAGTGCCTTGAGGCTGACTGTGACCACCTGAGCTCCTAACATGTAGTTAATTCCATGCTTTTCCTCCTTTCTGTACATTTGCAAACATATATCAAAGATAATAAAGTCCATTCCCAGTGTGGGAAAACCATGTCTCCAATCCTGCTTTGGGAAGATTTGCTCCCCTTTCTAGTTCTTCTCCCCTTGGCATCTGACCAGAGAGGTAGGCAAATGATCCCTCTGCTGCTCTGTCAGCCAGTGGAACTAACTCCTCATCTGTCCCAAAAGCAATGCTCCCCCAGACACATGAGCATGGAAAAGCGGCTTCTGGCCCTGCAACACTTTTACACTGGAGCTCTTACATTCGTTTTCTCTGAACCTGACCGAAATTCCCTGGCTAATGAGGGATTCCCTGAAGAGCACCTCTGTAAGTCAATTCAGATTCGATGCCCAGGGCAACTGTACAATAAGTGTTCCCAGGGGCCTTACTCATCCCTGGAATTCTCATTTTTCCCATGTGGTTCAAACTGGAGTTAAAAAATTGCAAACAATTATATGAAATCAACCATCTTTACTCTGTTAGAGTAACTCAGCCATCGTCAAAACAGACAAAACATTCCCAGGGCTAAAAAATTTTTGTTTTTTAAATTTTTCCCCTGATAGGGCCTAGATAAGTTTGGACCTCTGAATAATGTCAGGGCTGGTCTGCACCTCTGCCCAGGGAGAGGCACCTGCAGTGAGGACACAACTGCTGACTAGGTGTACCCACAGCCTCAAAAGCTCTCTGTGTTTGAGAAACTGCCTATAGAATGAACAGACGGACCGAATTTTACCTAAAACCTATAATATTTGTGGAGTTGTGTGCATGGAGAATTTCAGAAAATCTCTAATCTTGAAAGAACCTCTATGTAAGATTTTGTCTTTGTTTTCAAACTGTCTACACTCAAGCTCCTTCCTTGGGATTTTCCTTTGGGATTGCAGGTCATTGTTAATGGTGATCTCAGATGCCAATGTGCTAACAGTACACTCCAAAATACAAAAAGCTGAATTTCAAAAGGTTACTTTGGAAACTGTCCTTCTCACTTGCTGTTCCCTTACCCAGGAAACGCCGACCCCAGACACATGTGAGGTGAGGCCCACTCCCTCACTTCATCTGCGTGTCTGCTCAGACGGCCCCTTAGTGGGGAAGCTTCCCTGACCGTCCTGCGGGCAGCGGCACAAACAGTCAAATACAGGCTCCCTCTCGCCCAGGGTGTCTGTCTTTTCTCATTCTCATTTTCCTTCCTCACTGCCTCTCACATTATGGACGGGGGTGTTTAGTTCCTCCCCTCCCCTCCCCACCCATGTAAGCTCCACGAAGGAAGGGCTCTGTTTTCTCACTGCTCTGTCCCAACCAGTTCTTCACAGAGCTCCTGAACATGTGATCACCATTCAATAAATACTTGTCACAGGAATGAATGAACTGTAGATGGTTTAGCCAAATGCCATACATCCCCAATTCTCTTCCCAGCAGGACACAAACTCAAACAAAGCTCCCGAGGCATGCACACCAGGCTAACACTAACATCTCCTTGGATGTCTTTGTTGTAGCTTATGAAGCAAATGTACCATGTGAGCTACCCCAAGAGTTTACAAAAAGCGAGTCTCTCTTCTAATGTTCCCAGGCTATTTTACTAGGAAACAGACAATCCCTCCCACCCCGCAAATGGCAAGTGCTTTGATGCACACAGAAATCTAGGCCCCTTTTCTTACCATACTGATTGGAATTGCTGGTGAAGAGGAGGTAGTCAGAAGCACAAGTCTGGGACTCGATATCCAAATCTCCTAACTTCAGAATCAATCTCTTCCCTTTAGGTACTGTGATGGTCTTTTCACAGGTAGTATGATTGGGGTAAGTCCTTGGGTAATTCTTAGATGCCATGGTGCCACTGTCCAGATAGGTCACTGTATGCCCACAGCCACCACCTGTTAAAGCAAGAAAGGGTTTAAGAAGGGAAATTAACCATTACTGAGAATTGAGAGAGTCCAGTACAATTTCCAACTCATGCATTTTATTCCTTCTTTGAAAAAAATTAAAACTAAAAACTAAGGTTAACTTATTAAACAGTATGTATTGTTTCAGGTTATTTCTTCCTTTGTTTCCCAATTTAACCTTCTGAACACCATCAATCAAAAAGTTTCATATATTACAATGGAAAGTCAGTAGCAAACTCACCATTTAATCATATTATTTTTTCTAATCATCTATCTACCATCCAAACTTGCAGAGTGTGGGCCCTTGGCATTTACAGACTTATCATTTGTGGTTTTGTCTACTAGCAAGCCAATGTCATGTAAGAATTGGCAGGGAAGCAAATAATTTACTTCGGAGAGCCACCTCGCTGGTTAGGCTGAGAGGATTTTAAGAGCCTGTCATTAGCTGAGGACTGACAATCATCAACATTCGTATCTCCGTTTACGGCGGTCATAGACTTGGTGGTCCCCGAGAGAGCCAGGGTATATAATCAGAGAAAGTCAGGAATCTGCTGCATCGAGTGCTTGCCACGCACCAGACCCGGTCTGTTGGGGACACGGAAGTGCAGCAGCGGCTGCTCCGCAGACCTCAGAGTAAAACGGCAGACAGTCGCATGTTCGAATAACTACAACACCAGATGCTGTGTGTCCTGTCAGAGGCTCAAACGCAGTGCTGAGGCAGACAAGAAAGACTCTCTTTCAGAGGATTATCACTGCTTCATGAAAACAACACATTTCTTAAGACTTCCCTGAGCAGGAAATGTCGTCAATTGATCAACAACTTGGCCCAGGAGACTGATGTGACCAAGTTAATCACTCAGATATCTAATGGTATGCACAAGTGGGTGGGGCTGCAAGGCAAGTGAGCACAGACTGCATTCAGATTGCAAAATGCCTGTGGTTAGTATGGCTTCCAAAAAAAAAAAAATTCATGAATTCCTACCCTTAGCAGGAAGGGAAGAAAACAGAAATCCTTTGGAGAGGGAACTCTCTCAGGTGGTAAAACAAGGCCTCTTCACAGAAACCCCAACTAGGGCATACTGGGAAGCTAAAGACCAAGGCAGCCATCTTCCTTTTCCTGCTTCTTCTAAACTGGAGGAGAATTCACCTGCAGGCATCCTTAATCCACTTTCTTCTGGCAGATTAAATGATAATGTGGGCCTAGTAAAAAAAAGAAAAGAAAGTCTGGCCCTGACCCTAGTGGCTCAGTTGGTTGGGCATCATCCTGCAAAGCGAACTGTTGCCAGTTCAACTCCAGGTCAGGGCACATGCCTGAGTTGTGGGTTCAATCCCTGGTCAGAGAGGCAACCAACTGATGTTTCTCTCTCTCTCTCTCTCTCTTCCTCCCTCTCTCTCACTCTAAAAATCAATACATAAAATCTTTTAAAAAATGTCTGGGGGGTGGAGGAGGGAACTCCAGGATCTGCCTTTACTTCAGCAGAAAAGGTACAGGGAAAGGGTCCCCCCATTCCCTAGAAATTCCCACATGATTCCGGGGAGAGCTGACCTGAAGAAGATGAGGTTAGAGAATACAAGGGAAATGCAGATGGACAGCTAAGATAAACTCCTCTGCAACTGGGAGGTCTAAATGGAAGTTGTGGAATTTATATTGCAGGCAACAGGGACCCAAAGCCGTTTTTGAGAAGAGGCATAATGAAAGAGGTATTTGAAAAAGTGGGTCAACCTGGTTGGGTAATGACAGGAACTGGAACGCTGGGAGAATGTGGGTCAGAGGAGCAGTAAGAGGGCTGGAAATGAGCTGGCTAAGGGGAAGGAAGGAAAAGAATCGCCGGAAAATTCACAAGAAAAGCATCAGCGGACTCAGGTGTTCCCTGATCAGAGTAGAAAAGACAAGAGGAGAAATAAACACTGCGTTTTGAGTCCAGAAATGACTGGAACACTGAGGCCAATTCAGACAGAAAGGGAAGCCTGGGCAGCAAGGAGGTTTGGGGCAAAGCCTGTCAATTTGCTTGTTAAATGAGGTGATAGCTGTATTTCTTGGGTTTCCTGGGATTAAGCACACGACTGTTGAGAATTAAATGAAAATTATACCAGAGTGAAGCACATGGTGGAGAAGCACATAATGCCCAGGATTTTAATTTAAAATGTGAATTATTTGCTTTCTTTTAAATGCTTTAATTTGTTTTCTAAAAAATTCAATTTATAGTTTCTTTTGAAAACTGGAAGACATGATAACCATACCAACATAACAACCATTCTCACAAGGCTCATGATTGGTGCTTGCCCCTTTAAAGGAGACCAACACCCTAGCTCCCCGCCAGTTCCTGGCGTCTCGTTTTTTGTGACTTGCCCTACACCGTTGGAGGCATTAATTTTGAGCATTCTGATAGAGCAACACTAGGTAACTAGCATACAAACAAACGATTGTGCATGTAAATATGCTCAAAAATACCCCTAAGCTACCAAGATATTACCCAGTAAACATTTAAATGCCTATTTTCTTATTACCATGAGATTCTGTTTTAATAAGAAAAGAGCAAGTGAAAACTTTTACTAGAAACACAGCTAAATATAACACAAGGAGCAATTATACATGAATCAACCTACACATGATCACTATACTCTAAATTTTACTTAAGTGACATGTCATGACAAAGGAAAATCCCAGGGTGTCACTTTTACACAACCCTGTAATTAAATTTCTTTCTAATCACTTCACTCTAAAGCCCAAGAGGAAACTCATTTCATCCTGTGATCCCAGCAGAATGCGAGCGGGTTTAAGGCTGACCCCTCCCGTCACCACTGGGCGATGTGTGGGGTATGTGCCTCTTCAGGAGAGTGTCCCCTTCCCACAGCTATGAAAATGAAATCCTATGAGTCTCTGTTCTGCCAAAAAACCCGAAAGGAACAGCGGTGTCCTAATTTATTAAAAAGCAAACTGTCAACAGAATGTTGTGTTGTAGACTTAAACTTACACAATGTTAAACTTACACAACGTAGTACTTCCACATTATATAAATATATCAAATCAATATAATGTAGACTTAAGCTTACACAATGTTACAGGTCAGATATGACATATGAGGGAAAAAAGAACTAGAAATATGCCAAAGGGGAAGATGGAAAACCTCCAGGGAGAGAAAATGCCTCAGGTATCACATACTGAATAAGGCAGACGCACGCAAAGGAAAACCAGTGGAGAAGCACTGTCCCCGTCTTCTCACCCTGACACTCAGGTAGCTCAATCCCATGGCCTATGTCAACTGAAAGTCACAGACAAGGAGGAAGACAAGAGGAGTTTAAAATCTATCAGTTCATGTTACATATTTTCTTTATCAATGTCAATATCCCAGTTGTGATATCACACTATAGATTTAGAAGATGTTATCACTGTGTAGAATTAGGTAAAGGGTACACAGCATTCTCTGTATTATAACTTCATGTGATGTATCCTTATCTCAGAATAAAAAGTTTAATTAAAAAATTTTTAAAAACCCTCTCAATCTGGTTAATTATGGAAGGGAGTAAAATGAAGGGGGTGAAAATAAAGGGCTTTTGTTTTCTATTTTATTTTTTATTATTATAACTTTTATTTTTTCTTTTGTATGTGCATGTGTGTTTACTTTTGTTATTGTTGTTCAGTTACAGTTGTCCCAATTTTTACCCTGTTACTCTCCCCTGCCCTACCCATCCCCCATCTCCCACATTCAATCCTCCTCTCCTGACCCCCCCCCTTTGTCTTTGTCCAGGGGTCCTTTATACAGGTCCCTTGACCTGACCTTTCCCCTTCTTTCTCCTATTATCCCCCTCCCGCTCCCCTCCGGTCACTGTCAGTTTGTTCTCTATTTCCAAGTCTCTGGCTCTATTTTGCTCACTTGTTTGTTTTGTTGATTAAGTTCCACTTATAGGCAAGATCATATGATATACATCTCTATAAACTTTGTATTTTGTTATTCTCTATGTAAATTATTTTTAATTGAATATTTATATGAATTTGCATTAGAAAGTTAGACCTATATGACGACAATCAATAAAGGAAGCCACTTTTATTCTAAAATCCCTGTTCCAAAAGCATTATCAAAGTTCTTCACATTTGTCTAAAGGAGCATAAGGCATTGAATCCTCAAGGACATCATAACATGTGCCCCAGTTTACGACGGGAAAACCAACTGTGTACGGACGTTCCCGGAGGCTACTGAACTGCTGGTGGATCCCAGGCTACAGTTCTCAGATGTTCTAGCAATGGCCCTACAATTTTAAAAACTCTTTGTCTCACCTCTTTATTTGATTTTCTAACATGTGTTTGTGTTTAACCTTGGAAAACCACCCAAACTCTTGCCCTATCAAGTCTCCCTTTAGATGCTTTCATAACATCTTTCTATCAAAATGAACAGCTCCCTAACATCTGACTCTGGCCGTGGTCTACCTGGATGGAAAACCACTGGGTAAACATTGAGGAGAAATTTAAAATACAAGTACAGGTGTGCCACCATCTAAACTCACAGAAGGATCGCACAATGACCACAGGTGAGATGAACAGAAAGTATGTGTCTCCACAGGCAAAATGTGCTCTAATGCACCAACTTGTAAGAAGAACTACTGCTAAAAAGCAGAATGCACGAAGAAATAATTGACTCCAAATCTCATCAAATCTTCAAGTCCACCTTCACTCTATAGGAAATGCAGGGGCTGGAGGCACAAGTTTGTTGACACTGTGAGGAAGCCACCAGCCGAATTCAGGCTGTGACACTCTAGGTGCCAGGGACTCAGGTTTTTCAATGGTGAATTGTATGAGTAGACATCTTAAAAAGTGTCTATTTTAGATTAAATACAACTTAAGAACCACAACAACCAAGTAAATCTTGTTTGGATTCTGATTTGAAAAACTTATCTTATAAAACCATTTTAAAAAAGTAACTGAGGTATGAAACGAAATCAGAAAAGTACTATTCACTTTACTGGATGCAATAATGGTATCGAAGGTATCTAAG